ATGGCAGCCTAATGCAAATAAACTTTTTTGTTAGAAACCTACAGAAAAATAGCTCTAAAGAGCAATTAATTAGATTCAAATGTCTTGAGTGAGAAATTGTTGAAAAGAAAATCCGGAACTGCTCATTTTCTGTTCGCTTCTTATGTAGTTTGCTATAATTCATTAAACTTTTCCTTATTTGCCTCTACCTCTACAGATACCACTGCTACCAGGACAGGTACGATCGTCACTACTGCAGCAACAACAAAGACTAATTCGCCAGTAGTAACAGAAGTCACCACCACCACCACTGAGTCGTCAACTGGGACACCATTGACATCCCTTACGACCACGATAGAACCCAGCAACGATGAGACAACCACTACATCAGTTGCGAAAACCACTTCGGGATCTACAGTTGCTACAACCCCTTCGGGATCTACCTCAGTTGCCACAACCACTTCGGGATCTACCACAGTTGCTACAACCACTTCGGGATCTACCAACGTTGCCACAACCACTTTGGGATCTACCACAGTTGCTACAACCACTTCGGGATCTACCACAGTTGCCACAACCACTTCGGGATCTACCTCAGTTGCTACAACCACTTCGGGATCTATCACAGTTGCTACAACCACTTCGGGATCTACCACAGTTGCTACAACCACTTCGGGATCTACCACAGTTGCTACAACCACTTCGGTACAGCCGTCAGCTGATGGACCTCGCACTACCCTTACGACTCCGTCAGGACCCAGCACCGTTGCAACAAGCACTCCCAGCTCTACGCTAACTCTACCTACAACAAGTTACAGCGAAACTACAACTTCGAGTGGCCTGTGCAACGCCCAAACTTCAATTGTCAGCGCTGGTGAGAATCTTCTATCAAGCCCATTGATAGCAACCTGAAAAGAGCAATTCCTTCCGGATAGGTGGATTATCTAGGTTTCAACACCAATCTGAGCATCATTTTAAACTCATTTCATGTGATACTTACAAAGTGAATGATACAAAACCGAATTTGTTCGATTCTCGTAACTTACACCATACTCGGTTTGAGTTTCATAGTCATGGTTGAATCGTTCAATAATCAGCACATCTGTAATGAACATTCAGCTTGCTAGGTATTGCTGAATGAACTGATAGCTTGGTTCATTAAAATTTTCGACTTTTGTTTCAGACGTGTTGAACTCGACGAGTTCGTTGTACACGCGCGTCAACACGACAGTGAGCAATGACACCCAGACGCTACTGACGAACTTAGCGTTCATGTCAGCCCGTCAGCTGACTGACGCTGTCAGCTGCGACCAAATGGACAGCTCCGACATCACAGCTGCCACCAACTACCTGCAAGCCGCGCTATCGCAACTCAACGCCCACATCCTCTCCTCCATCACCCAGACCCTGAACGCCACCGAACTAGTGGATTCGACTTTTGTTTCAGACGTGTTGAACTCGATGAGTTCGCTGTACACGCGCGTCAACACGACAGTGAGCAATGACACCCAAACGCTACTGACGTACTTAGCGTTCATGTCAGCCCGTCAGCTGACTGACGCTGTCAGCTGCGACCAAATCAGCAGCTCCTACATCACAGCCGCTACAAACTACCTGCAAGCCGCGCTATCGCAACTCAACGCCCACATCCTCTCCTCCATCAACCAGAACCTGAACGCCACCGAACTAGTGGAGATGGTTGTGATGGTGCAGTACCAGCTGTTGAACCTGCGCCACGAGATGGTCGTCAAGGAGGATCAACTGATGAGGGCTGAGGCTGCAGACTTGGACACCACTATCGACGCACAGCTCCGCCTGCTGGACAAGTTGAGAAACAGAGGTAAGTTCTCATCAATATTGCTGTAGTTCAGTGCGTGCTGAGTGTAATTTTTTATTTGAGTGATATATCAATTCATAACGTAAATTAAAAAAAAAGATTCTAGCTATGCACGATAGTGTAAAATACCTGCAAAAATAATAAATCGTATTTTGAAGTACTGCTTTCCCATCTCATTCTTCCTCTAAGTCGCACTAATAAATTGCGATGATTAATGTAAGGTAGAGAAACTTCTTGATTCATCGATAGCCCTAATTAATAACTTGCCTGTTGTACATTCTAAGGTAATGCATTGGGCTATGTATTTCTAAAGTGAGATATTGGCTGAGTACGAGAATGATGCTTGGAAAATTAATATACAAAATTTTAATATTGAAAACGAAAAATAAGATTCCGAATTTGGAAGAGTTCCATGGAAGCTGGTAAATGTTCATAAATTATTTCTCAATTGATTTTAATCTAAAAGACACTTAATTCGAAAAGCATATTGAGAAGGAATTGTTTGTTCGTTTAGCATTTCAACATTTCTTGCTAAATTTGAGGATATTGCAGAAGAGCTGGCCCAGTCTCTTCAAGCCGGCCATCGTGCGGTATGATTTTCATTTGCAATTCATTATTCCAGAATTTGATGAAATGCAATAGTCTGCCAGTCCTGCACGGGACTTCGAGTTATTTATCATACAATTATAGGCTCGGTTCATTATTCTGAAGCCAATGGTGTACATGATACGGTTTTGGCTGGCGGCAACAGACAAGTTGGCATTGCATTATTCAGATTATTTAGGGTTCGGTTGCTTCTTTTCCAGAGAAATTATACGGAATTAAAAATTTGTTAAACGTATGTATTGCTTCTCATGAGGATCTAAGTGGTTCATATGTTAATCTCTCATTAAATAATTATCTATTTTTTTCCAACAGGTCGCCGAATTTGAAAGTAATATATAATGATTTAATCCTTTATTCATCATCTGTCATTACTGTATTATTTCTTTACATGTTTGTTTTTACTTTTCGTTGGTATGCTTTAATTTTTTGCTCATATAATTTATTCACATGTTTGTGATGGCGAGAATGAATATGGACGAATGGAGTATCCTGTGATGACGCTATGCTTGGCAGAGGTGACACAGTAGCGGAGAAACATTGTGGAATCTCTATTAGTTTCCGTAATATTTCGTTCTGCATTGTTTGCTCCTAATGTGTCCCTGTCCCTAGCCATGCAAGCTTTTGAGTACAAATATTTGAACAACGAGATCCCTAAGTAATTTTGTAAAGTTTAAAACTTGTGTGTGAGAAGGTGATACCTGGGATTTTAATTACCATTGCTGAGCATTTCGTCGGCAACTTAAAAATGATACTTGCGGACTTGTGTACTTGCTCATATTAAAACGTATTTATTAAAAATTCAGACAAAATAATTGTCTTTTCCTTTGTCTTCGGCCTCATATCGAAAAAAATATTTTCTGCAAACTATACATACCAGCCTCACAGATCGACAATGCCGGATTTTATCACCAGTCTGGTTAATGTTATCGATGTTGCTCGAGTAATTTATGACTCTATGCTTTCTTCAGAATACAAAAGCAAGGCAACACCTAAGTAATAGGAAGAGGAAAATATTTTCTCAATGTGGTCCTTATGAATAGAAGAATATGTTCTCGATGTAGTCTAATGTAAACAAACTATCTTGGCTAGAATTTTAAAAGCCACGCACTCTTAGCCAGGCAGGAATACCTTCAGTCATGCAAAGAAATCGCTTGGAGTAATGTTTTCCTTTATTTTTTAACTGCGGGATAAAAATCCCGCGCATGAATAGAATTGAACGCACAGAGCATGAATTTCTCCGCAAATAGTCGATTCTGGTCACGATAAATTCGGAATATAGCCAAAAATTCCCAGCAACAATTCATGGTGTTGAGGAAACGAACGTCAACTTACGCGAATGAGGAGGGAGACATAGTCTTCGCGAACTCTCCGGTGTGAATCTAGTTCTCAATTAACTCTAGTAAATGACAATGGAATTTTATTGAAACAGCGAAAAAACATTCAACCAAATTTGAGGCAAGAACTTCACGCAGCTAAGCTGAGGAAGGCTGTGATGTCTGCAGTGCCAACTTGAGTGTGTTATCCAGGGGCGAAGTAAAAGTTGTTAATAAGAATTAGTCTCTTGTATTCAAACAAAATCTGCGTTAAATCTGCCTCACAATATAAATAAATAAATATCAGTGTGCATTTACTTGTCATCATTAAAGTATTTTTGAGTAATGGAAGTCTTACAGAGGTGTTCTTTGGTATCTTTTGATATTACATTATCAAGATGTATTTTGTATATACGGTCTAAATGTACCCGGGTCCGATTCTATGATATATAGAGAGACGAATTAATGTTGCACGAGTGTAATATATTACATTACACTTACACGTGTGCATTGATGTATGTACAATAGCATCTGGCACATTCCGATCTCAAGATAACAGCACAAATTCCCAAGTTTTAAGTAAATTAATTTAACTTCAACACTATTAAAATCTAAGTTTAAATATTTAGGCAGAAAGAAAGCATGATATATGAATATTTTTTTTAGTAGACGACTTTTCTATGGTAATTGTTTATTTTTCTTTGTTCTGAGGAACAACGTGAACAAAGCTCGCGCCATCAGCTCAAACGTAGGTGCTCAAAAATCACTATTTCCAAGAATATACATATATGGCGGACTCGATGACCGGGAAAAATGGCATCATTAGGTTTTTAATTTAAGTTTTTCTACATCGAGGTTGAATTTGCACAATCCAAGGTACACTATATACACTTAGACTCTGGTAAAGTTGTTTACGTTTGAAAGCTTGTCTTCTAAATATTAGCTTCTCTTGTTCATATGACAGGGATGAGAAAATGAGACAGACGTTTCATGATAGGTATATTTAGATAAATACACAATTTAAAAAATTCATTCTCACAGTAGAAATACTCATGCAAATACTTCAGATACCACAGTCACTATTCACACCAGCAACAGTCAAACTATTTGCAATTACAAAGTGGAAAGATAATTTATCCGCTCAAGCAGAAATGAACCTTTTTAATTGAGTTAATCAAATATAATAGGAAAAAACTGATAATTTAAAAACTTAGAACATTTAAATGAGAATGACAAAAATAAATCAAATAAAGTAACCTGTTAGAGAGAAATAAATGAAGAAGTTTTATTAGTAAAACACTGTTGAACCGCTGAAACTTCTGGACTGAAGGAAGGTAATTATATAAAGCAGTCGCTATTAACCGTATTGGCAGGTTGCCTTCACCTCTGAGCTCTGCACTCAATTTACTGCGAGCAAAGAAAGTGTTAACGTCACAGGCTTCATACTGCAGGTATGCCGGCGACTTGATGGTTCACGGTAAATAAAGACAATTAAATGATTAAAAATAGAATGTAATAATTATATAAAGAATAACAATCCATGGTATTTAATAGAAAGAAATTAAATGCGCGAACAATCAGCTACATAGTATAATAGATATTCTATTTGTATATCGTACAATTTACAGACTTCTGACCGTCCGTGTTACAGAATAAGTCCCTGTTAAGCAATAAAACCGGGTAGGGCATTCACCAGCCTTCTTTTTAAATGATGGAATCCTCAATCGTAGGAGTTCCATTACAATGAGTATAACAAGGACAACCTTACTTTTTGGTAAATGTGAGTTTGGGAATCAACAGTAAAATCAATTAAGATCTTCAAGCTCGTTATTTTCGTGAGGCAATAAGCGGCAGTGAAATAAAAGCTATGAATTCTTTATTACTAAGGCTGATATTCCGCCTCAAGTCCAACAGGACAGCTAACAGGAATTGCCTTCAAATCTTAAGGAAAAACATTCAAACAATCTTTGGAGTTAATTTCAGGAGTTCCTAACTCAAGTCAACTTGGCATCATATCAAGAGGTACTTTTTGATCCCTCCATTTACTCCCCAACAATTTTTCTAAATGAAAAATGTGAAGGCAAGTAAAATAGAAGAAACCCTCTCGATAAAAGCCCCCACAAGGCAACTGTCGATGCTCAGCTGTTTCAGCCTTACCAACACAAGATTGCTTCAATGTCAGATGGCTGGTGAGGTAACTCCCATCGTAATAACCATTCTGTCATGCAAAATTTCCAGTAAAACACGATTGAATCTCGTCAATCATGGGATTTAAAATTTCGATTATTAATACATATACAATATGATTCATGTACAATATCCAGTAACAGTCATGATTCGGGAACGTTTCCTGCACCGCAACTCACCTCTGATCTGGAGCTGGTCCAGCAGGCGGGCCTGGGCGTCAATGGTGGCATCGAGATCTTGAGCCGCGGCAGCCGTCCAATTCTGCTCCGCCGCGACAATCGCCTGCCGCAGGTCTGACAGCTGGTACTGCACCATCGCAACCAACTCTACCAGCTCGCTGGAGGTGGCGTTCAGGGTCTGGTTGATGGAGGAGAGGATGTGGGCGTTGAGTTGCGATAGCGCGGCTTGCAGGTAGTTGGAAGCGGCTGTGATGTCGGAGCTGTCCATTTGGTCGCAGCTGACAGCGTCAGTCAGCTGACGGGCTGACATGAACGCTAAGTACGTCAGTAGCGTTTGGGTGTCATTGCTCACTGTCGTGTTGACGCGCGTGTACAGTGAACTCGTCGAGTTCAACACGTCTGAAACAATCAATCGAGTTAAAAAGACGGAAATTTCAACGAACCAAGCTGCTAATTCCTTCAGCAAACCTAGCAAGCTGAATAGTTCATTGCAGATATGCTGATAATTGAAAAATTCAACAACGATTAAGAAACCGTGTAGGGTGTAAATTACGAGAATCGAACATATTCGGTTTTGCATCATTCACTCTAAGAACTATTGCATGTAGTGAGTTTAAATTGATGCCTGGTTAGGTGTTGAAACCTAGATAATCCACCTATCCGGAAGGAATTGGTCAATAGGCTTGACAGAAGATTCTCACCAGCGCTGACAACTGCAGTTTGGGCGTTGCAGAGGTCGCTCGAAGTTGTAGTTTCACTGTAACTTGTTGGAGATGTAGTTGGCGTAGAGCTCGGTGTGCTTGATCCAACGGCACTGGGTCCGGACGTGGTCGTAAGGGTAGTGGGAGGTCCCTCCGCTGATGGCTGTACCGAAGTGGTTGTAGCAACTGTGGTAGATGATCCTGAAGTGGTTGTAGCAACTGTGTTAGATCCCGAAGTGGTTGTAGCAACTGTGGTAGATCTCGAAGTGGTTGTAGCAACTGTGTTAGATCCCGAAGTGGTTGTAGCAACTGTGTTAGATACCGAAGTGGTTGTGGCAACTGTGTTAGACCCCGAAGTGGTTGTAGCAACTATGTTAGATCCCGANAGATGTGTATAAGAGACAGGTCTCAAACTACCGAGTACAAAAGTAGTGTGAACGGTTGTGCGCGGTGAGGCACTGCAGCAAACGACTCAAAGCGCATGTCGTTGCCACTAGTGTAAACGGGCCTTTAGAGCTAATCTGGCACACACCCCCCGAAGCTGGTGGTGGTGGTCCCCTGCAGCGTTAGTGCGTAAGAACTAACCTGGCACACACCTCCCGGCGCTGGTGGTGTTGGTCCTCTGCAGCGTTAGTGCGTAAGAACTAGCCTGGCACACACCCCCCGGCGCTGGTGGTGGTGGTCCTCTGCAGCGTCAGTGCGTAAGAACTAACCTGGCACACACCCCACGACGCTGGTGGTGTTGGCAACCCCTTGTAGCGTCAGCGCGTTGGCATCACACAGAAGCGCGATGCGTGCCGTGTTGCCCGTGGCGGTCACGACCACCGTCCCTGGCAAGCACGTCAGCACCGCGCTCGAGTTCTGACCCAACTGCGTGGGACATGAAGCCGTACAGCGTCAGCCGCGTGGTGCGAAAATGTAGGAGTGGAATGTACAAAATTAATTTTTATCAGCTGTACGACGTTTCAACCGCAAGGCATGCTAGGTGGACGTTAGGGAGTTACATGAACTGCCATTAGCTGTGGACGTTAGGGAGTTACATGAACTGCCATTAACTGAACGACATGTCAGTTGCATGTGAGCAAGTGAGTCGGCGCACAGAATTGTAAAATTCATCGTTTCAGAATAAATGGCAAGCATATTAGCTATCATAGCAAATTTTATGCCTTTCCAAAATCGATTCCAAAAAATTTCAATGAAAAATTAGCTAATGGTTGTACTATGGTGTTCCACGGTCTTCAAACACATTGTAAAAAACATATTAAGGGAAATTTGGGTTCATTCTATGTTATATTTATGAGAATAGACGGACGCATGGGTCCGATGGGCGACCATTTCTTACGGTAAGTTTAAATATCAACGTGGAGCTTTCAAACGGCCGATATAAAAGACATTTGTTTTTGGCGATGAGCGTGTGCAACTGTCTGCCTGTGAGGTTGAATCTGGAGTTTCCTAGAGTGGGGTGGTTTGCGTTCAGATAGGCAAAGAAGTATACTGGATGCTGTATTTTAGGACGGCATGAAATTTAATAAAGTTTAGGAAACCAGTTCGAGGAGGAATGTACGTGGTTCCAATAGTAATAAGTCCTTGTGGGGTGTCTGTTGTTTCGGCTAGCATGTATCGGATTGGAAGTAATCATGTAACTTGTACAGAATATGTCTCTAGCGAAGGCAGCAGTGGCGTGTTGGGCGTTGTCTTTATTGGTTGTGTGACGTTGAGTGGTAGGTGAAGATTTTTGGAGGTGTTGTTAGTGAGGCTGTGGTCGTTCAGAAAGATGATATGAATATCTATGTTGTTACAGATGTGTTGGATAATTTTTATTGAACGCTGAGGTCTCATGTTGGATGAGGATCTTTTGTTGTGGACGCCTTTGTTTATTTTTGAGATTGAAGTTGGGGCGGTAGTATGGCGGCTCATGGCGTCGAAAGCGTCGTGGGGGATTACGTTGATGTAAGGTCTTTATAGGATAAGTTTGTCGCGTTTAGTAAGTCGAAAGTTAGGGCGGAGTCTCTGTCACGCATCGAGAGCTTTAGACCAAGGGTTTTCTTTTTCAACTCTTCAATGAGCAAAATTTTGCGAGATGCTGCTGGAATTGGGGTGGGGTCTTGGTCGCTTCTAAAAAATATGATCTGAAGGTATTTGAGTCCGGGTGCGGTGATGGTTTTGACTTGATAGTTTTCGTCGCTTATTTTCCATTTTCTAGGGTATTGGTTGTTTTCGTTGGTGAGAATATTGAGATAATACTTTGAGAATATTGAGCCAAACCCCTGCTGTCTGACGAGGCTGGCTATGTGAGCTTCGAGGATGATTGCTGTAAGTTTGATTTGGATGGAGTTAGTGAGGGTTATGTTTTGTTGGGGAATGTTCGTTTGTTTGATTGCAGGTTTGGCTATTTCGACAAACGTGTTTTAGCTTTTGTGTAATTTATGGTCCTGCATTTCTTTCTGTTTGCTTCGAATTAAGTTTTTCCTGTAGGAACAGTTGGCGGAAAGTTTTCTATGGTGGAAGCCGTAATTCAAACATTTATTGTGGATTTTGGGACATAGCGTTTGGATATGGGTGTGGGCTGAGCACTCTGAGCAGGATGGTGTAGTGGCGGTGCATAGGTGGGTAAGATGGTTTTCGAATTTGTAAAATTTGTAGCATATAAGAATGTGGGTATATTTCTCCTGCTAACTTTGGTTGGGAGAGTGCCGGGTCTTCAACATAATAAAAACTTCGTTTAGGATTCGTTGGGCGATTGTTGTATCAGTTGCTTGTATGTTTATGACGTGGGTGTAATCCTTAACTTAACCTATTCCATGTACGAGGATCCAGTTCTGTAGTCTCATTATTTCGTCCATGTTCTCAATTAGGGCTCGTCTACCAATATCTCTGTCGAGCTGCCTTACAAATATTGTTTGCGTGGACCTTAGGTCATGAGGGATGACTGATGCCAAGTTAATTTTCTTGAATGCATCAGTTGCTTTCTTGAAGTTCAGTCGGTCTATTGCTGAGATGTCGTCAGTATTCTCTGGTGATGGTGTCAGTTAGCCGTATGAGTGGAGCGTTTAGGTCTTTAACTGTGGTCTGGATGATCTGTGAGCGGTCCGTAGTGTGTCTATAGGGTCGATGCTCCTGAGTTGAATTCTGGATGTGGGTAAAATTTAGCAACTGGATTTAGTTGATGATGTTTGAGAGGTGTAGTTTGGATGAGTTAGGGATGAATATGGTCATAGAGTAGTCATGCTCGTGAGGGAGGAGGATCAGAACTCTGAGCTCTCAGGGGCAGGCTTTGAGTGGTTTAAGAAACTCTCAAAAGGGTTTCTAGTAAAAAATTAACAATAAACTTCAAGTATAAACATTCAAACGAGAGAGCTGGTTTCACTTTCAAGTCTATATGTCAGCAGACCCCGCAGTGGGGGACTCACGTAGAGGTTCTTGGTGACGTTGTCGTAGGTGCCTGGTCCCGTGATGGTGACGTTCGAGGGCGCCTCGCCCGTGAACAGCTCACTGAGGTTCACCAAGCAGTCTGGAATAACGTAAGAACAATTTCGTGCAAGAAAAAAAGTAATCACGTATCACTCATTTAATTTCCGTACTCTGCGTAACTACGAAGAGAATAAAGTGCGATTCACCTTATTGATCTTGTGCTTCGTAACGAAGGAAAAAACGTGTAATTATAGAAAAGAACCTAATAATTTTAATTCAAGGGTATAAAGTTAGAAATTTAGAGAATAGATCGCACAGACGACGTGGCTTGTCAATTAATCATGAATTTTTAGGTGATTTTTATTCCTATACTTGCGTGAAAAATCAAACTCTAACATTGCTGGTAATAATGTAAATTTTTTCTATTTTTCGTAATGAAAAAGATATATGGAACGTGTTTCTGTTTATAATACTAGTATTAGGGGATCACTTCTTAAACAGGATATTTATTGCTAGAACTAGCGTGATGTCCGAGTGAAAAATCAACTAGAAATGCTAAAGGTTAGGAACTGGTTGGGGAGTTTATTGTCCTTCTTACGTGTGCCCTAATTTACTAAACTCTTGATGAATACCGATACGTTTACTACCTCTTGGTTTCCAAGGGTAGTCTGAATTAAAGTTTGATATATTTTACTTACCCACACATTAATACCTGTATTCTGTACATTTTTAGATTTTTTCTTTACACCGTTATACCCACGTACAGCTGACATGAACTCTTATCTCAGTCTCATTTTCCACGTAAAAATCACTGATCCATTAAATGACCCGCGCAGTAAATCACCGAACTATGCCCTAAAAATCGCTACACTAAAAATATAGGCTTAGTCATTCAGTGTCGGTTCAGCCATCCGTTCAGAATCAACTTCTTCTTTCCTCCACTTTCTGAGGACCAGGTTCTTCATCACGTGCCTCACTTCCAGACGGGAAATCAACTTCTGGTCAGAATCTCCTGTCCACTGTTCTGTACAATAGAATTTTTTCCCTCCTATCGTTAAGTTCTCATAGTGCATTTTTTTTCCCCAATACCTGGTGGCAATATTCATGGTTGGAACCAACATTAATCGCATCCTCTCGCATTTGTATTGTTCGTGCAACTGGCCCACATAACGACTGGATTAAATGGTGTTTTCTCTCACACAATTTTATCAGTTGATTTCTTTGCAATGCAAGCGGAACATCGTAATGACTTTGTTATGTGCGTATTTATTTTTTAGGTTCATTTCCTTTGTCTTTATTACCTCAAGCAGATGCTACTCATTTTATCCGTAGAACACAAATGTTTAGAGCAGATTAAGGAATTGTCCAATGTTTACAATGTACAGTTAAATCATACAACATTCATAAATTTAGAAAGCCAAACACATTCGTAAGTTGCCTAATTGCGATTGATTTTTAGGTTATCATATTTGAAATATTGTTCATTTTAAATTATAATATTTATTGAAGGGATCATTGATTCTTTTGCATTCTTATTTTCAGATCCACTATGATAATTATATGGAAGTAAAATTCTCAAAACTGGACACTCGTTCAAACTTTCCGCCAGCATAACCAAACAAAGTCTCGGCCATTGTTACCGACCATACACGCTCCCCGAGTCCTAGGCGGCATCCATTGCTGAGTCTTGCCAGCATCCAAATTTGTTAGGATAAACAGTAGACCAAAGCTCACCCCAGTGGCAGCCGTCCGGATGCCAGGTCTCGTTTACTTATGTTCAGATTTGAAATGCCTAGCTCCTTATCGAACCCGGTGGAAGTCTAGTAGCTACTTCAAACTATCGCCAGTCATGAAAAGATCCGGTCAAATGACACGAGTTTAGACCTATGAACAAGGCTCGAAAAGGAAAAGAATCGGCGACAGGCCACATCAGGCCTACACTTCAGCGCCGACATCACTATGTTATGTTATGTTATCTTATGTTATAATTGGACACTCGTTCAAACTTTCTGCCAGCATAGCCAAACAAAGTCTCTGCCATTTTTACCGACCATACACGCTCCCGAGTCCTAGGCGGCAACCATTGCTGAGTCTTGCCAGCATCCAAATTTGTTAGGATAAACAGTAGACCAAAGCTCACCCCAGTGGCAGCCGTCCGGATGCCAGGTCTCGTTTACCGAGGCGCTGGCGTAGTAGAAGCTGGAGGTGGAGGACGCTGTATAGATGGGCCACGCCTGGACGGGTCGCTGGCAGTTCAGTGTGGCGGTCGGCGTGTGGCTGCCGTTCAGGAGGAAGTGGAGGCCGGGAGCACAACTTAATGCCACGGAGCCACTCGTCTGTAAATATTTGTCATGAAAGGGGTTGGAGTCATAGACTTGGGACTTGGTTGGAGTCGTAAACGAGCGGTAGGATTCAGATTGAGCGGTGATGCCAACGATGCAGAGACTCTATCAGCGCTCGTGTGAAAGCCAGCTGTCCGAGATGATCTTGTTCCCTTAACACGTTGACTCCGAAGTGGTACATATTCGTACCGCGAAATGTATTTCTCTAGGACGTAGTGGTGCATAATTCAGGTTTGCCAGATGGCCTAAAAACAGTTAAGTCCGCGAACAAAAAAGGCCAAAAAGGCCTATAACTTAATATACACTGTTATATTTGTAGGTTCCGGTGTAACAATTCATTTTTTAAAATTTTAATTAGGAAGTTCCACAATCATAAATTTTAGCCGGCCACGCAATTGAAAAAACTAAATCGCGGAATTTGTCTGAAAAAAAAACCGTCTGGCAAAACTCTTTCATAATAGTCCCAAAAAATGGAGGAATATTCCAAGGTGAAGCAATCAGAGTCAACGTGTTAAGTAGTGTTTTCAAATTTCATTCGTGTTTGTCTCATCCTTCACGTAAAGTCCACACATGTCCTAACAGAATTTCTCTGTGTCAAAATTGCCATATGAATAACACGAAGTTTTTAATATAAACGGGACCATTTCCGTACGTCGTTTGTTTGTTATAAAAATGTAGAGCAGAATCTTGCGCTTATCCTGCGCGGCACCTCACCGCCAACGTGTCGTTAGTGAAGTAGCCAGACGCCGAGAAGTTTGCGCTCATCAGGTCTCGGTTCAGCAGCAGGGGGCCAAATTTCCATTCACAGTCTGGAACAATAACAAAATGAAGGTCAAAATATTAGAAATAAATGTCTTTGGACCAAGCATTAGGCTACGTCAGACGCAAGTCCTGTGATGGCAAATAACTGAAGTATAAAAAGCAGTTTGTGAAAAATGTGTTATAAATCTTTGATGCAACGAAATATATCATACAAAAAGATAATAATTGTAATCCAGCCGAACAATTTTTGTCGGGAGAAATAGTAATGAGCATGTCAGAGCAAGTGTAAAATTTATTCACTATTTAAACATCGAAACTAGAGCGTGAAATTCGTGGAAACCATTTAAATTTCAATACTCCTCAGTTCATAAAAACTCAGTACTTTGAAACCAGAGTATTATTTTTCTTACCATGTACTGCTGCACTGTCATTATGCCGAACATAATCGATGACTTCCGCATCTAAAACTTTACGAACGGCAATTTGTTTCAGACACTGTCAGGCTAACATTTAATATTAATGCGCTTCATGATGCAGTGCAGAACTATTGATTCATTTTCACATTGCTTCCAATATTAAAATGAATGCAAATTGATGGTCGGAATATATATACGATTTAATGTGACAGGTCGGTGCATGTTTGATGAAGCACATTTTAGATTCGGTTTAGCATGAGTGGAATTGCACCGTTAAATATCAATTCAAATACGGCCCAGTTCTTTGGTATTTGATTATTTTAATTTCCAGTTATTTTCACTGAAAATATGAACAATCTTTAGTGTATTTTGAAATACATTGCAATTTCAATTCTCATTCTTGTCTTTGAGGAGCACAATCTTACATCCCATTCAATGTATTATTAAATAACAGATTAACTCCATTTATGTATCTTTATTCGTCTCTCTTTGGAGATTTCAATAAGCCTTCAGAATGAAAACTGGCCAAGCAAAACGGATTCGAGTTTTGTTCCACTTTAAACGGTAAACCATCATTCTCGAAAACCAATAAATAAAATAGAAAAATTTCCCGAAACTTTGTTGAATGCTGCTGAATCGGGCAATTTATCAGACTTCAAAAATTATGTCTATTTGCTATTTGCATGCTTTATTTGCATTTGAGGAGGCACACAATTAGGTTGGTTTGAAAAAGATTGTGTTTGCTTCTTTCACGACGTAAATACACAATCGTTCCTGGTCGGCACGAACGCGTTTAGAGTTCGGGCTACTAATTCGTCCGACTTGCAGGTACGAAAAACTTCGTCTCTGTCGAACATTTTGTTCATGCGACTTAACCGAGTCGAAGACCAGCTGTCTTGACTCACCGTGCAGATGGCTGGGCGTCCCAGCACACAGCTGGCTCGACTCACCGTACAGATGGCTGGGCGTCCCAGCACACAGCTTGCTCTACACACCGTACAGATGGCTGGGCGTCCCAGCACACAGCTGGCTCTACTCACCGTACAGACAGCTGGGGATTGGGTTCTGATATGAAACAGGAGCTGAATTGTAGAAGAATTTGTTATCGCTGCAGTTGACGCTGATGGAGGTGAGCTGCTGAAAGCTCGTGTTGAACCGCGAACCCGCGCCGCACGTTAGGTTCACATTCACGTTCAGGCACGACTGCATAAGTGGCACAAAGAAATGAAAGAATACACGAAAAAATGATTTAATTTATTTATGTTTTCTACTAACTTTTTCATGTGAAACAATGCATTAAGATGGTGTTAAAATTAAACCTCGAAGAACTTTCAGGTGTTGAATGTTGTAGCAATAACGACGATAGTTTCTTGGAATCTAGTTTCTCCGTAATTCATTCGCATTTGTGTAATGCAGAGTAACCGTGAGTGACAAACGTTTGCCTATAACCAAACGACAGCAAATTTTGCCGCAAATTAGGAAGTTTGACACACGTTTTCGCATAGTTTTATTTCAGATAAATAAAGAAATTGTCAACTATGCCTGGTGTTTTCTTCCACGTTATTGGCGGAGCGAAGATCAATATTTTCTTGTGCAAATTAGTTCCGCAAATTCTTAACGCTGCACGCGAGCTTGGCGGTCAGAGCCGAGGCCGCACTTTTTATCCTCATGCGATACCGCTTTGAAAAAATATTTCATTGTAACGAGCGTCGCAGTAACATTGCTTGATCGAAAAATTCCTGAAAACCCAGATCCGCTCCCGTCATCCCATGTCAACCCATTACAACCCACGACAGCACATATCAACCTATGTCAAAAAATATTCAACCAATGTTAATTGCTTCTGCGGGTGGTTGGTTGGATTGAGTTTGCTGATCGTCTCATCGAACGATGTTCAATTGAAGCGTGAAGTAATAAAGTAAGTTTTTCGTACGATAAAGAAACGTACAACATTTAATTTAATGGGCAGGGCGGCCCAGTGGTTTCAGACTACCAGGATTGGCGCAGAGAGGCGCGGGTTCGATCCCAGCTCTGTGCGCCAGTTTCTGGTCAGAATCGGCAAGGAGGCCGGGCGGTTGAGCTCAGCAGAATTGTAGCAGTGAGTTGAGAATTCAAGCCCTCAACATGCTGTGAAAATGCTGGGATGTTCTGCAATGTTAAGAATCGTCGACAGGTCTACGGCCCAGTAAACGCTGAAACCGCTATATTATATTATATTATATTAAGTAGCTGCCACGCGGTATGTTCGTTCGCGAACTTGTCTGATATTGTGACCGTGCGAGCGCGTCTCCAAGCAACGCGGTCCAGTAAAAAAATTCTTATATTTCGCGACTCATTTCTACCGGGACTTTTCTGGGCGCTGCGACGCTGGGTTCTTATTTGCTAAGAAAAAAGTCTTCCGTAATTTATCGTTAGGAAAGACGTACATATTGAGGAAGTAGTACTTAATTGCTAAGAAAAATGATTGCTAAATATTGAGTGCATTAGGGCGTGCTTTCTGAGACATAGGATTTCTGCACTCACTGTACATCATCCTAGCTTCATCACCCAAATTTATTGTATTCAGGATCATTGGTATTCAAGGGGCCGTTGTGACGTAACATTTGTAAAACATTCGTTCATCATTCTATTTCTTGCGCTGAATGTTTTGCTTAAATAGTATCGTGCATTAAATGTAGATTTCGTAGCATAGATATCTGGCTTTTCTCGAAATGAATTTCCTTCAAAATTCTTGATGTTTCGATATATTTGAGACGGAACGTGCCACGGAACGGAACTAATTAAAACTTTATCTATAATCTAATTAATTAACTTCTTACCAATCCACGTTTTGAGTAGAATGGCAATATATAGAAAAAAGCTTCACAGAAAATAATAAAGTGAACCCTAATATAAGATATTCTTCTATTCGTTATGTGGCAGGAGTGGACCATCATACATGGCAAGTTTTATTTAATGTTTTTCTCCAAATTTATTGATGCAAAGTGTGAGAAAACAAATAACTTCTGAGCATTTGAAAAATAATGAGAAATATTATGAGTCTGGAATGTATTCTCTTAAAAGAATTTAACGGATAGTTGAAGACTTACCATTACGATAATTTTACTTTTTACTAAATTTTTTGAATATCTGCCGGTCTTGTCAGTCCGCGACCGGCTTGTTATGAATACATTAATAAATTTTTATAAAATTTGTTTGCTTTGTCGTGTTTGAAATAAAAATCTATTCCACGCAAGTCTTTTGAAATGGAGTGACTTGGGTTGGGCTGGGTTAAAAATTATTTATATGAGTTGAAACAGACTAACAGAGGTTGATATGGATTGAAAAGAGTTGACAAGGGTTATCAAAGTTAAGCGTGGGTTAATATAATTGGCAATGGTTTAAATGGATTGACATCGGTTGACTAAGATTGACACGAATTAAAGTTAATATGGGTTGAACTGGGTTGATACAAGTTGACAAGAGTTTACATATCTAACTAAAAAAGACTTTTATTTCTTGAAGCGTTAGCTCTGAATGTGTGGGCACCATTTCGGGCGATTGAGTTTGTACAAAAAATACAATTGCGTTCCGCAATTAAAAATGTTAATGAGCTTCAGGGAGTCTCGATTTTTTTCAAATTAATGACAACGAATACCAGTAAATCCGAGAAGTAAAATTTTTCCTCAATTATGAGCAGTTATGCAGCTTTCACACCGCTATAAGGGGGAGTAATGATGTCACAATAATAGAGCAAAATTAAATAGTGCAGAACATATGACAAGGATAACACGGCATACCATTTGCAAACTCTAACCTGGACCCAAACGTTCAGCTCAAGTATTTCCGATCAATAAATACCATTAACACGAATACGTTCACATTATTTGCATAATGCATATTGAAGTTCTACTTGGAAATTCTTATTGTTGTTTGCACTCACGCGAGGGACCAGTAATTCTGTTGATACCTGAGTAAGACCACAGCACTGCACCGATGCTCAACGAAATGATTCATTCATTCAATGATTCATCATTTAATAAATATCAAAATATCATTAATGCATTATTAAATAGCAATCATCTAAATTATTATTAACATTCTCGTCATTGCCTAAATTATTATTAACATTAACATTATTAACATTGTCGTCTCTCTTCAGTGTATTCTAATATTTTTTTATGCAATAGAATTCACGGATCCATCATCCATCAGCCTTCAATGATTCATCATTTGATTAAGATCATCAATGCATTATTAAATAACAATCATCTATTAATCATCCAATAAATTTCACGGATCCATCATCCAGCAGCATTCATTGATCCATCATCCACAGCACACATTACATTTCTTTAGCTCCACATGTTCTTTACAACCAAAGTTCGGCCCCAGCAGCGCAGAGCGCACAAAATGTCGTGCTGCATCGACATTAACGTATTTGTTATGAGTTTAAATTTGCAATTCGTCATTTGTTGATAAGTAGCGCTGTCACAAACTACTTGCTGGTTTGCATCAAATATTCGTGGCAGCAAAAAAGCCTGGGTTCAGAGTTCGTAAGTCGCAATATATGAGTAAGTTTGACGTATGTATTGATTATGGATTATTACTTTAGAATATTTGTTTGGGCTTAGCAGGCTTAAAGAAATGGCCGAACGATCTTGCCCTGACGGAAAAGCGCGTCAATATTACCAATAATTCCGTTTGTTTATCATGGACGAAATCTGTTTTTAACAGTAATTTTTAACATCAGAATTGAAATAAATAAAATTCCTTAAACTTCTCAATTTACGCGCGAGTTATTGTCATCATTTAATAAATAAAAAAATTAATTTAAATTATTATGTATTTATTGGTCACCGTATCATTAATTTATTAATTTACCAACTACCGTATTGTCGTCTCTGTTCAGTGTATTCTAATATTTTATTGAACATTATTAACATTGCCGTGTCGTCTGTTCAGTGCATATTAATATTTTATTGAAAAATTTGGGTCAATTGTCTAAAACTTTTGAAGAAGTCACGGAACGTTACTCTAGAACGTTACACTAGAGCGCTACAGAACGTTACTCTAGAGTTTAGAACGTTATACTAAAGCGTTACAGAACGCAACTCTGGGACGTTGTACTAGAGCGTTACAGAACGCTACTCCAGAACGTAACACTATATAGAGCGTTACAGAAAGTTACTCTAGAACGTTATATGACCTTATGATGAGTTCAAGTCCAAGTTCAAGCTGATGCTCCGCCGGCGTTACTATAACGTTACAATAGAACGTCACACTTGAACGTTGCAGTATAATAGAGTAGCACTCAGTTCTGCATGACAATTAAAGAGCCGTCTCCTCTGAATGACTCGCGTCATAAAATATGCATTTTCCCGCACGGTTTAATGATAATAATAATGCCTTGCCCCTCACGGTTTAATTTCCTCTCCACGCTTTAATTTTATTTCTACGAATTCTTACACTAAAAACTAACTGAGGCATCGCTCTTAACGTTGATAAAAATATTGCAGCATATACAGGCGCAAGAGTTCATGCTTTAATATATAAGTGTGAAATAAACATTATTTCAAGACTTAACGTTTTAATGATTTATGTGAATGAGTTGTTGAATATAATTCGTAAGTAATAAAAATATTTAGTTTATCTTCTTTCCTCGATAAAGCTGGGCTCGACTTTTTCCCGTGTAAGTCATTATGTAGAAATTATACGACAGGAATAACATTGATTATGGAACCAAACAAACACTACACACATATTACAGTTACAGAGAGAAGTGCAGCCCCGAGAACGGCTTATGTGGAATTACTGCTAGCAATATCAGCTGAAGCAGAATTTGCTTCGTAAAGAAGCATCTGATGCAATAGAAGCATCTGATGCAATAGAAGCATCTGATGNATTTTCTGTACAAAAAATCAGATGCAATAGAAGCATCTGATGCAATAGAAGCATCTGATGCAATGGAAGCATCTGATGCAATAGAAGCATCTGAGGCAATAGAAGAGCATCAGATGCAACAGAAGCATCTGATGCAATAGAAGCATCTGATGCAATAGAAGCATCTTATGAAAGAAAATCATCATATAAATCAAAAGAATATAAATGAACGAGTTAAGTAATATCTTGCTACCCTGGCTAACCTAACCACGCAACTTGGCTGCACCGACGCTCGTCTTGAACGACGCACACGACAGTTCACATTGCTATAAAGTTATTTTTTTATGTAAAGATAACGGGAAGCTCAATAGAATTTAATCGCAAATATTTTTTTGCGTTCCTGTCACTCCTGAGGTAATGAAATGAAGATCTGGGCCTATACCTTCAAAAAAAGTTAAGAGATCGTATTCATCAGCCAATCGTTGACAGCCTTTCTAGCAAAATCCACCAATCATAGACAAGAAAATAGAGCGTAAGTACTTACGTTAACGAATACTTACGTTCACTTAGCGAATTTTTGAAAGTATGGCCGTTGAACGCTCACCTTGAGACTGTAGGGCTGGAAGACCGCCGCGCCGCCTGTTGCGTTCCCAAGCAGCGGCGAGTACTGGCCGAATGCTGGCCGCTCTAGGGCGCACGCTGCCGAAATACATTTCGAATTGAACCTTCACACGGCCTTGTCAGTAGTTTAGTGTGCATACTTCCAGTCTTATTTGAGGTCATTTATCAGTATCTTATGTACACATACGTAGAAAACAGGCTTGAAATGCTAGATAGAGTAAAATTATCCAGGCTTCATAAAATTATTTTACAACTCATTTCATGTAACAAATTCTATGGAGGGTCAAGAAAAAATCAGTCAAGCTTGACTGATAGGCTAGAGAATCGACGCTTGCACCTCAAAATCAATTGCTGAGCCCTGATCTGAAATTCGGCGTTGTTTTATTGACGAGTCAGAAGTTTTACCTTCCATCATCCGTAACAAATGTCCTGAAATATTCGTGGATTGCAATGAGATCTTTCACACTACGGCGTCGTCAAGCCGATTCAATAACAGCATTAGGATAGAGTACATATTTTTTGGTCTCTAATTAGTGAGAGGAACGTCGCTCAATAATTGATGGATGTCATCGATCAGGTTAGCCCGTGTATGATCAGCTGTCTCCGATAACTTGTCTATTGAGATTTGTAAAGATAGATTCTGAAGGATTAGTGTGTTTAATTACTTGTAAAAGTACAGGATAAGTTAATTAAGTTTTCTGTATTCTCTGCACGAACTCGTCATCAAAATAAAACTTGATAAAGTTGGCTTAAAAACCCCTGTAAATGCAAATTTAGACTAACAATTTCTAAATACCAAAAAATATTCTTAGTACCATCAAAATATAATTGACTTCAAGAACTCAGAAAAACCGAAAAAATTTGTCAAATAAAAATTAAGTCAGGAATAAATTTTACTATCAGATTCATATATAGTGAAAGATTCATTGTTCATTCCGAAAATACCATTTTACTTTCTTCTTACTTTCTCGCTTTGAAATTTCACTTATGAAGAAGTCGTCAGATTTTTTCAATGTCACTCTAAATTTTTGTTGTGGCTAAATGAGAGAGGTCATAATTTGGAACAATTTAAATGTCAATAAAGTCTATTGCATTTAGCAGATCACCCAAATGATTCAGAAACTCTGAGTCACTCACGCCATGTGCACCCCAGCAGACGGCTGCCCAACACCTTCACGCCCTTCGCGTCGGCCAGGAACGTGACGTTGGTGAGGTCCACCAAGCACTGCAGCTGCACGGAGTGTGAGGGCGGGGCGCCTGCTTTACTGGCCACACTCGCGCACTCGCTGCACCACAGCGTGAACGTAGTGCCAACATCTGCCTGCATCAGAAGAGGAAAATTTTATAGTTTGGTTTCTTCCTGCGTAATAAATCTAAAGTTAAAGTCAGTCATATAGGTATAGGAGTCAACAGGAAAACAGTGTTTCTAATGTATTTAACCTTATTTCTGGTCATGTCCAGATAACGGTAAAAATTAAGATTCCAAATCACCGAAAATGGGCGTATATCTCTTGCTGCTTGCTTGCGTTACTGCTTTGTATGTAAGTTAACGACTGCTTAGCAGGTGTCTGAAGGACTGATGCAGCTGACTTCCATCCTCGACTGTTCCTGTTATCACAATACATTACTACCCCGCCTGACACAAGACATGAGCACCACCCCTGCTCTGATAGGAGCTCCAATGCAGCGAGGGGAGGAAGGATAGGGAAGTATAGTAGTCGAGTTGTTCACGATATTAATTATAATTTCATGAGTATGTAAAGTCCAGTAACCAAATCATAATCAGGGCATGGGGGTAGTACAATTGCCCACAGTCTAGTCGCAAGGATGGCAGTGAGGTACCCACCACGAGGCTGCGGTTGTCACGATAGTAGGTCACGCCGGGCGTTTTGTCCACGCGATCGAAGCCATCGCCCGTCAGGTAGGAACCATCCAGTACTACGTCACAGCGGGGCGTG